ATATTTATTTAATACTTTATTTGTTATTTGAAGTATATGAATCTTTATATTCAAAAATGTGTTTTTATAAGCTAATTATTTTATATCTTTAATTAAAGCTAGTATAATCTTAAATATAAATATAGGTGAGCTTAATTAATAATGAGTTATTTGAGATTTAATTAATATTGATTAAAAAAAAACTTCAATTAAATTATAAGGGATTTAAGAGATCTATTGATTTAGATTGAAAAAGGGAAGAGTAGATATATAAATTCAAATATCTAATTTCGAGAGTATAGCTTTAAAATTAAATAGGATTAAACCTATTCCTTAAAATTCTGATTTTATATTCTAAAAGATAATTAATTCTTTATATACAGCTTTAAAAGCTATAAAGAATTCAACCTTTAAAATATAATTAATATATACTTTAATAAATCCATCAATTTGATTACTATATAAACATTTTATATTGCTAAAACAATTAATATTAAGTAATTGAATTAAATAACTTGAATGTAATAATAAATATAAACATATAATATTATTCTCTTTATAGTATACTTGAAAAGCTATTGATTTATAACTTCCATACCTATTTAGCACCAACATTCGATATTTACTCTTTTCTGATTCTTAGTATACTTATTGAAGTATTTCAATTATTTTAAATTTGTTTTATTGTTTATTTATTTATTAGATATAGATTTAATAATCTAGTCTATAGGAAGATCGATTTTAATATATTAAGTAAAGAGATAAACCTATTCTTAAACTATTAGAAATAAGAGAATAGTTTTACCCTCTTTATTTCTATATATTATTATTATAGCCTATTCTTAATTGTCTAATTATACTAATTTACTTCTATTATATCTTTTAGTATTAATAACAATCATTACTATATATATAATTCTTATTATAAAGCTTATTTTATCAAAATATAAAAATCTTTATTTAAAATGCTATATTTCGCTTGTATATTTACAATTAATCTAAATTACTTTTCAAAAAGTTTAAAATCTTTATAAAAAGTTTTTTAAAAGTTATAAACATAATTAAAATATATCTTTAATTTTTTATATTATTTTATAAATTAATATACCTGTTGAGCAGACTTAGTAAGGTATATATACACAATATGTATAGGTAAAGGGATTGTTTATTTCTGTTTACTCTCTTTATATGAAAAGGGAATTACTATATCTATATATGTATGTTACTTTTATTTATGTACTTTGTATATATATGAGGTAAAGTATGATATATAATGTTATGTTGTTGGTTATGTGTTCCGACAATACTCAAAGCTTTCCAACAGCTTTTCCTCTTTTCAATTCGAAAATATAATTCACTATATCTTCTACCCCTTTAAATTTAAAAAAAAAACCTTTCAAATTTATATCAAGAATATATAAAATAATTATTTACTCTTTTATTTTAATAAATTTCAGATTTTATAATTAAAATTCAATTACAGAAATTGTTTTATTTATTCTTCAAATAAATATTATATATATAATATTATATAGCTTAACAGCCTTTCGAATTAGGAGTTTTTTATCTTTTTCAATAGCTTCAATAGCTAAAAGTATTCTCCCTTTTTTATTATTCAATTATATAATAAATGATTAATAAATCGTATGTTGAGATTGAAAAGTGTAAATTGAAGTAAAAGTAGTGTACGCATTGATATAGTATACGCATTAATAAACTATGTTATATTCAAAAATATTATTCGATAAGCAAATAATAACTTAGATTTAATTCTAATTCTAATAAACATAATTATCTCTAATATTAACAAGTCGATTAATGATTTTATTAATAAAGTATATAAATTATTCCAATTGATTAATATTATATATATAATATTTCGAAACCTTTATACTTGTTATTAACTATTAGATTTTGAAAAGACTTTCGAATTATCTTATAAAATTTTAGACTAATAAATAACAAGATCTTTTATTATTACCACCTTTTTATTCACCTTTTTATTGAATTCTATATATAAATTATATACTAAATATATTTAATCAGATTAACTAAACATTTTGATTATATCAAAACTATCGATCTTGTTTCTCGTATATATTAATAATCCAATATATTAAAGAAAATTAAAATATTTATATAAACTTATTAATTTTATTTCTAAATAAAAGCTTTTTATCTTATTATACTTAAATTCCTTAAATTCCGATTAATATTATTCTATCTTTGATTCGATAATATGGTTTATTAATGAGCAAATTATATAAATGAACAGATCACCTCATTTTATATACAAAATTTATCTATATATAATTATATACTTTCTTTATATAATAATATAATTTAAAGAAATTTGAAAATATTGAAATTTAATTATATAAATATCATAAAAATCTAATTATTTATTGAAAAATTAAATTATTATAATAGTTATTATAAAAATAACTTTTCTATAACGAAAATCATAACAATTTCTATTTTTTTTAGAATATAATAGAAATATTTATAAAAAAAACTAGATTTATAGAAAGCTGATTTTTTATTATTATTGAAAATTCTTTTCTTTTTTTCAAAATAATAATTAATTATTAAAATAAGAATATTAAAAAAGGCCTAATTTTGATGTGTTTTCAAGTGACCCGTTTACTAATATAACCCGCTCACTAATAAACTACGTTATCTCTATTAATTATATTATATTATTATTAAATAATAAATATTACAAAAAAAAGTAGTAATTTAATATTATAATCATTTATCACTTAATCAAAATATATTATTTCATATTGATTATAAGGTTGTTTATAGAAAAGCTTGTAAATTGATTTATTAAAAGAATTTATTATCTATATAATATATCTAATAAAAACTTATAATTCGTTTTCAAATTTTGAAAACATTCATTTAAATATTTATTAACTACTTTAAAACATTCTTCTTTATTTTATCCTAAATTTAATAATTAAATAAAAAGAATCAATACTATAATTGAATAATATCTTCAAGTCTTTATAAACTTTTATTAAAATAATTAATCTAATTAATTTTCACTTATAAAATTTATATTAAACAATGTGATTATATTAAAGATCACTGATATCTTTTTATTCTTTACTAATTACAATTTCCATTTACAATTTAACATGAAGCTATTTATATTTATTTTATCAAACCTATCATATTAAAAAAAAAAGTTCCTTAAAGTCAACAAAATTGTAAATCTATTTAATTTTATTTTAATTAAATTAAAAGCACGTATAATTCAATTAATTCAAAAATATAAAAATTATATTAACAAAACTTATATTAATACTTTTCTTTATAATAAAGATAATAAAGTATAAGTAAGTATAAAGAATAACGTAGTTTATCAGTACATATATTATATTAGTACATACACCACTCATTTTACATAAAAAATTCGTCTATGCGTAACTGTACACTTTCTTTATTTATTAATATAATTTGATTTTTCCTAAAAAACTTTATAGTTATTTATATAAATAATAAGAATTTCTAATCAATTATTAGAAATATAATTTAATATAATAGTTATTTTAAAGAAAGTTTTTTTGTAACGAAAATCGTAACAATTTCAATCTTTTTTAAAATATAATAAAAATATTTATATAAAAATTATAATTTTTATTATACATTTTTTTCAAAAAATAATGATTAATTATTAAAATACCAATATTAAAAAAACCCTGATTTTAGTATAATTTTGAAGTAGTACATGTACTGATATGATGTATGCACTAATAAACTACGTTATAAGAACTAATTATTTATTATTAAAAAATAATAATAATAAAAATAATTCTTTTAAAATTCCTAAGGTTTATAAATATATTTATCTATTTTAACTTTTAATTAGTTTTAAAATCTTTTTAATATTTTATAATTTATTATTTCAATTACTCTATTACTTGTTAGAATTATTAGATTGAGATATTATTAATATTATTAAATTATATAAAAATCAAGATCGAATTTTCGAAAGGGATAATAAAATATATAAAGGAATTGAATAATAAAAGTTTAAAGAAATCCTTAATTATTATAATAAAAACGGATCTTATTATTAAATCAAATAAAAATATTATTTAGTATTTTAATAGTCTATTGAAAACCTTTATAATTAGGAAAATATAATTGTTGTTTTTTATCCAACAAATTCAAATAAGCTAGATCTATTTACTTAAATTGATTTTAAAAGATTTATTATTTTCAATTCTATTAAACTTTTATTAATACTTATATTAAGTATATTTTTGAAATAAAATTGAGGTAAATTTAAAAAGTTTTATTAATTAATTATTAATCTTAAGAATGTTCATTTTAATTCAATATTAGAAATTAAAGTATTTTAATCTTATTTAATTATTTAGAATAATTTATATTACAATTATAAATCAATTGCTTTGAATGGAGGATATTATTATAATAATGATTATATAATCTATAATTGTTTTTATATCTCAGGTATAAATTATTAATATATTCTATTTTCTATAAGTAAAACTTTATTCTTTTATAATCCTTTTACTTTTGTAGTATAATATAAGTCTTTACCTGTATCTTGACAATTAGGAGTATAACATTACATATTATACTTTACTCTATATATATACTTCATATATAAATGAGATTAGTATATGTATATATATTTAGTAAGTTCTTTTTCATATGAAAAGAATAGATAGAATAAAATAATCCTTTTTATTCTTATATCTTATATATATACGCCTTACTAAGTCTACTCAATATAAACCGACTTCGTCTGTAACCTCTTAATACAACTACTATTTAAAATTATATTTAGTGAAATTAAAATTTATAATAAAAAAAATTATTAAATAATACTTTCTCGAAAAGCAAGGGGTCCGGGGGCTCGCAGGCCCCTGGTTTTCAAATAAATTCATATATTTTTTAAAAAATTATAAAAGTAATTAATTTATATAGAAAAATAGCAATTTTGTAGGGATTTTATTACAAAATAAGATGGTGTACGATAAGCCGAAGTCAGAACTCTTACAAGCTATTTTGATAGCAGATCAGAAAATTTATATGAGAATAATACCAACTGTCCAAGGATCATACAAATATTCATCGCAGAAGCATGATCGATACCAGTATCGAATGGAATGCCTCTATGACATCAATACATTTCTATCCCATCAAATATCAACATCCACCATATGTTTCGCCCAGTTCCATACCCTCACCAATTTTCATAAACCTCATAAAAGCCTCCTCTTCCATACAAACATCCCTTCATCCTTTCCTGCGAAACTTGGCATTGCGATCCTACAAGTGAGCTCCCAATCATTCATCTCCTTCTGAAACCACTCTTCCATACCACAGTCGCTAAATCCTGTGTATCGATTCGCGTTTTGTGTTCCGACTGCCACAATTGTATTCCCTTTATAAGCGTTCAACACCCGTTTCGTAAATGTCCCAGCTGTAATCATGTATACCATTAATAAAATTTTATTCTTTCCTCCAGCATTCTTCCTCAAATACTCCACCCCATCTGTCTTTTCAGTATCAGGTATCCACATAATTCTATATTCACTTGCCATGTTATCAACAGCGTTGACCTTCACCTTCATTCGGCGTAACATATATGTCCAATATCCACTTCCACTTGCCATATCAATAACTCCATCGACTTTTGACTCTTCCACAAGTTGAGATATTATGTAAAGAGAATCGTAAGATGGTACGACACATCCAAAATGATGGTACAGAACAGGGAGAACAGGATGAGTCATTTTTGAGGCGGCAGGAGCCGCATAATGTGCATCGGGAAGCGGTCCAAGGAAAGATACCATCTGACATGTATGGGCCCAAATATCGTAGTATGGATTTATTTGTGCTTTGGCTTTCGGTATCTTATATGAAGGTGCCATTCGGTGAGATTGAAGGTAATTCGCAACCCATTCTCGAGGTGAACCTTTCTTTGCGTTGGAGGAGAATGCTACTAGAGCTTTAGATGTATCAGTCTTGGAAGAGAATATCGAAGTATAGGCATCGATGTCTGCGAGTGGTATCTTGGAAGTCAGTCAACATCAATCTACAAGTCGTGGATAGAAACAGCCTACCTGAACAACCTTGCCATGATCTTTGTAGTGATACTTTAATTTTCCCGTACTAGTGGTTTCTTGAATTTGTGATAATGTCATGGCGAATGATTCAGCGCGATATACATAATTATCATCGCTGGATAGTCCAAACGTCTCGTATATAGTTTTGGAGAAATCATCTTCTTTTATTCCACTCCAATTATCGAAAATCTCATCAGGAGAGGGAGAGGGAGAGGTCATGGCGGTAAAAAGATTGAGTTGGTAGCAATGAGGAGTTGAATTTTTGATTGCAATAGCGTAGAAAGCCCCATCATGACAAATTTCTCTCTGGAGTGCAACTTATTAATTAGTTCCTCCAATGTTTGTGGCAATCCATTGGACGATCTTTCATATCACAATGGACAAGAAAGATCAGTGAGAAAGATCAGTGACAAATGGGCGACGATAAGGTCAATCGGAATAGTAAAGAAGTGAGTTGGTTTCGACTTTCAGTGAGGGGAAATAATTAATAAGTCTAGCATCTCCACCCCACATAGTTCTTGATGCACCGAAACAGAGTACGGCGTACAGTCTGTCACACCAGCAATCACATCTTCATCTTCATCTTCATTCTGAAACACTTCTATTCCCCAACCAACCAAATCTTCAAAAACAACCTGAAAGTAGATAGAAACTTGGAAAAGCATCTCAATTTTCAGTCATCGAGCACATGAGAACGTTGCCGATGATGTCTAGATAGGTATTTGATGCATAATTAGAAAGGAAGACCAAGAATCTCTCTTAGTACTTTACCACGCGAATTTAGCCCCCAATTGTCATGAGTATCGGGTAAGTCCGTAAGGCAAGTTCTCTACTTGAATAGCTTTTCTGAAACATTAATCCGGTCCGAGTAATGCTTAAGCATCTCTATCTCTTCCTAGTAGTGAGAATGTGAGAATCAAGCTGGTAACCCTCGTAACGTTTGATTTATAGTGCCATTCCATCCTATCTCCCTAGTATGGAATTGCGTTTGGTGGTGATAGACAATGACATCGCCGCCATATATCTTGCTAGAAGCACAACACTCGTGGTTTATGTCGCTTGCTTGGCCTGTTATATCCCATCGAATCCGCATGAATACAGTTCTTTCGAACAATTGATCTCAGTGTTCAGTGTGGAGCTCCAAGGTGGCGATACAGTCACGTCCCCATGCATTGAGAGCGAGTTCCTTATGTACGAAGTAGGGTGGAAGGAGCTTGATTAATTACCTTCCACCTGCATGAATTTCAGGCTATAGCAACCCATATTTTGTCTTGGAGCATCGACAACACATGCTGTCGCTTCATACATCGCTTTGTGTCGCCCACTCTACTTTGGGGACTATACTACTCTCCTACTCTGTACTGTACTCTGTTCTGTTCTGTTCTGTTCTTCCACCATTATCGAGTCAGATCTACACAGCCTGATGTCGTTTTTCGAATGGCTTCCCAATCCTATCACATATATCATTTAGATTCCATTTTTCCAAAATCCTCCATCAATTCTACTGGGAGAGACAAAAACAAGCTTTTCACTAAGCTTCATACTGCATGCTATGTGGCGTGATTTTTGTAACAAGTCACCCCACGTTAAGCCGCTAAGGACTCATTTTCATGGTCTAACCTTTTCTAAACATCATGAATCTCCACTGTCTTGTGATCACTTACCATTGCATATACATTGAGAATTGGATGAAAAATAATAATTTTGCATCCTTCTCTCTCTCTCACAGAAACTTTGATTGAACATATATCTTCCAATCAAACTTTTACCCAAAGAAATTCGTGAAAATGACAATTCCACTCCCCTCCCTCCGTTACTCTGTTCAATCTGTTCCAGCGAATCTACTCCAATTCAACAACCCATCAACCTCTTCTCCACCGTCGCCTCCACCTTCCCAGGACTCAACTACTGATGCCCAAGAACCAAAAGAAACTGTACTCTGGATAGGGTGTTCTGATTCCCTAGTATCAGAAACTGATGCTCTCACAAATGTTAAGAGATCCGAGATTTTCGTCCATCGTAACTTAGGAAACCGTGTGAGCGTTGGAGATACAAGCAGTGGAAGTGCAATTGAATGGGCCGTAGATGTTCTAAAGGTATGTTCAAGCCTGCTATATAGTGGAACTCGAATGCTAAAGTCATGGGTATCAGGTGCAACACATCATAATATGTGGCCACTATGATTGTCATCTGCTTGAGGAATCAGAAAGTGATAGTAACAATTGGTATCGGTAATTCTCCCCAGTGCCGCCAAGATCTATTCACGTGCCACCTTTCTTCCCCATCCTCTGTATCACCTACTCTCCATTCACTTCTAGTCCTATGACAACACGAATTCTACTAACACATGCAGTGATATCATCCAACTTCATCAAGAGTCCGACGCACTCGAACCACCTGCGCAATCGCCTCAATCACGGAATCGTCATTTCACGGAACTTTATGTACTGTCTGAAGTGGAATGGTTAAGACAGCAACCTATTGTTCAGCGAGCAATGAAGGAGTGGGACTGTCAGATTCATGCCTTTGTCTATGACCGGGATCAAAATAGCTGCCTAAGATTGGTCCCAGAGAGTCAGATAAAATGAGTCGCACCGGTTGGAAAATGTAAAGATGGATAGACAGTTATGATTTCAGACGAGAGATTAAATTATAATTAATTACAAAACGTTATTCATACGCAGATGGCGCAGCAAACAAGCACTAACGATAATCATTTGGGTATGTCCATATTCTCCTAACATAAAACTTCATCATTACACTCCTCCACACCACTTCATCCACCAATACACGTTGTGATATCTCCATGTTTCCGACCATGCATCATATAGAGCTGGATACGAGTTTGACGATCAATAATCGATTCTCTTTTCCCGAATTGGCGCCTGCAATACTGTGTCTTGGTTCCAGACAACCTTCCCCTTCTCATTGAAGGTTGAAAGCTCGTCACTAATTGGGATTATTCCACTCGTTGCCTCAACCTCGTGTTGACTAATGCCCATTTCATCCCTAACAATCCATAGTGTTTGCGGGGGGCTTGTAATGGAGGGATCAAGGTAAGCCTGGTTCTCCACAGCTTCTTCATACGATGGAAGCTCCTCGCGACTAGTCACAAACTTCTTGGCACGCGCGTGTGATTTGAATCTTCTTGGATCAAACAATTTTCCAAGCATCGCAGCCTTCTTGGACTTTTTGGCATCTTCTTCGCGTCCTTCAGACTGTGTGGGTGGGAGTGCAGACTTGGTATATTCGTGAGTGTTGTTTGATGGCGTTTCGAATAAAGCAACTTGATCATCACCATCAGTGGACCTTGGAAGGTACATAGTCAAAGGCTTCAAAGCATGACGCATCACAGCATGGTAAACAGCTGTCAGGAAAATTAAAACGCCCATGAGAACAATTGGGCCTGTGGTCGTATTAATGGCGAATAGACCGAGTAGACAGACTTCGGAAATGTAGACTCCGACCATTAATTGTTGCAGAGCTTTAGCATACGAAGATCCTCGAGTATCGACGTCGTTGGAAAGAACGAAGAACATGTTATAACGGACGGCAAGGTACACAATGGCGAACCCAATAGTTGCAAATCCGAGAACAAGTGGTGCGATGCAAGAATAAGAGATTGCTAATTTATTGTTAGAAATGGACATTTTGTTTTTCAGGACTACATGAACATACCAATAACTCCCAAACAAGCAAACTTCGGATATAACGATCCCCAACCGAGACCAGCCAATGTAATATATCGATTGTACATTTTTCTTGGCGACTTATCAAGGAACTTACCACCAACGGTTAACATGACCAGAGCGCCAATGTTGATCAAGTTTCCAGCTGCAATTCCAAGACCTTGAACAATGATGTAAGATATAAAAAAGTTAGAAGCTTTTGGTAAACTTTGAGCTAGTAACGTGGTAGCTGAAGAAGGATTCTCAATGATTTCGGATACCACAGCTGCCGCTCCAGATGAGAATGTGGTGACCAAGAATACTTGTATGACTTGGAATGCAAAATACCAATTCTGGCATTTAAGTTCCACGGCTGGTGTTGTCACCTCACCACTAAGTTTGGCCATCCACCTGCAGACGATGGGTACCAAAGCCATCAGGATTGATAATGCGACTGAGGGTAGTAAACCAGTGACGACACCAAGAATAACACTTGGGATATCGTTAATGAATGACAAGAAAGGAACCTTTTCAGTCAAATAGTTGATGTTGCTGATAGCACCGACAACAGCAACAGGAATCGACCAAAAGATAATCATTGCAGTCAAGAATGTCGCAGTAGCAATTACCCTCATCTTTCTCTGTGTTTTCTTGATTTTAAGGTTCTTCCAAATAACTTCCTTGGGTTTGACTGCGATAGCTCTAGGGTCCAACTTGGTGGGGTCCTTTGCGCTGAATCTTTGAAATGCATAATTGGCTTCAAATTGGGATCTGAATTCAACAAAGGCAGCAGTGAGTGATGTCCCGCTTTGGCCCACTACAGTTTCTTGCTCCTTTTCGATTTCTGGAATGAGTTTTTGAAGTTCGTTTCGAGACCAATCAATGGTGTCGACCTTTTTTCCGATCAATGGTATCTTCCCTAGACGATGTGTTGGTCGGTCTGTCTTCTTCATCCATTCAGAGACAAGCGCAGCTTCGGTATCCACAGTCTTTCGCGCTGGTTTTGGCTTCCCTTTCTTTTCCGCCTTGGCCCATTTCTTTTCCCATTTAAGGCGTCTATCATTTGCGGCTTTGATCAGTTTGATTTCGGCATTTTCCAGCTTCATTGCATCGGTATCTCGCTCTTCGACTTTCTCCGTGAGCTTCTCGCAATCTTTAGCCATCCAAATACGAGCAACGACAGCATCTCCTCCAAGGGCCTCCTTTAATGCTGATTGATTCAAATGTTCCTGTGGGATAAAGGTGAAGAGTACAGTCTTGGAAGAAATTCTGGACGCATTGAATGGGGCTAGCATATAGTTGTGTCGAACGTTGATGAAGAACATGGTTTCTTTGGTGATCATGAATATAACGAAACCTAAAATTGTTAGCAGATTTTCAAACAAACGTGGGAGAGACCTGAAGAAAGAAAGACAAATACGAGGAATACTGACTGAGAAATATCCATGCAACAAATGTATGGGCATAGTATCGATTCTTATCAACTACGTTACTGAAAGATAGTATATCAAGCTCCTTTTGGCCGCCACCACCAGTCGCATTGACCGGAAATAGAATGGGGAAAGTTATACAACAACCAACAAAACATATCTTGGTCAACAAACCAAAGAATCGAAGGTAAAAGTAACCATCAAGGGATTGATGGTCCAGAACATGTTCATCTGGAATACTTCTGAATGGAGCAAGCCAGCCAAATTTGCTATCAGATAACCGCGATGTCCTTTCATCCTCGCGAAGTGTTGGTAAGAAAGTTCGAGGTTGGTAGACACGTAAATATTTTGCGCGAAGGACCAAGAATGCAATGATATATACCACAGCAAGAGCGGCAACAGGTATCAAAGTGGATACAAGACTGGATGCAGAGCTTGATGTAGTATTAGATGTTCCAGATCCTGCATTCTGAGAAGAAGACTATGAGGGTGTTGAGTCAGCAATTGCGCATTCGACCCAGATGCATCATGTAGAGTTGAATAGGAACTGACCATCTTGGAGACAATTGCAAAAGCAAATGAAAAACAAGAGTCTTTTTGGCAATGCCACTATCTTTCGATGTATGAATAATTTCTCGTGAAGACTTTTAATCGTGATGTGATATGGATGTGGATTGAAGTAAATAAATGACCAGACCAATTTTTTATCAATTCAATAACAACAATACTGAGCTTCGTCGCCCCCGCACTCGCACTTGCACGATTTGATTGATTAACTTCTAGCTTGGGCTTAATTAGACCGAAAGGAAGGATTAAACCAATTTCTTTGGACTGAATTATTTCCGCAGTTGGCTAGCTGGTTGAGCACGGATGGCACAAGTGCAGTGTGATAATCAATAGTAAATTTCAGATTGAAAATAGTTTAACTGGTTGTGCGTCCATATCCCCTACTCTGCATGTACTTTGTGCTCCGTCAGAGTACAGAATAATGATTAACTTACATCAAACGAGTGTTAGCCACATCACTACATCAAACATCATACCCTAGGTAGGACTCCGTACTAGGTATTCAGCTACAGATGCTTTCATGTGACATAGCCACACTTCAAACACTTGATCAAAGTACTTGGTTTTCGGCAGAATTGACTTTGAGGCTGACGTACGATTATCCATGCAACGAAATGTTTCCGAGAGAATTTGATAATTTGGCTAAATTTGAGTTTGGTAGAGAATACTTTGTAAAATTTGAAAAAGTGGCAGGCACGACGGGTACGTTACCTCGTTCAAGCTCATTACTACGTAAGTGGACGTCAAATGGTATATCATGTCTAGACAACACCAAGACCTGGCTTCCACGTTCGGTAATCTTCCCAATAATTGACTAGCTTTCCGAAGTACAGCTTTGATGTGCCAATGATTTCGATGTGCCGAACCCTGTTTGCGAATCATACAAGGATAATCACATCTGACAGAGCGCGATTCTTACCTAATTTGAGATTTTGTACCTCAAACATGCGATAATCGATCTTCAACAAGTAAACCATACATATTCCTTGCCTTTAAGTGGTCAATGACACAAACGAATACACGGAACATCGTGGTTAATGTAACACAGTGAGGTCATGATATTGCTTGCTGCGCCATGAAAGATTTTCTGGAAATGGACTACCCATGACTTGAATCATCAACGGTGAGCTCTAGGAAAGAGTATTTTGTGGCTGGTGAATCAAGTTCGCCCACATAAATTGATAGATCGGTAGATAGATATCTTGATAGATCTACTACCCTAGGATCAGATCAATGCGATTTTCCTACCCTGAAAACCATACCACATGCAACAGGTTAAGATGTGCCTATACATCACCGTTACTATGTTAATGCATGTTGCTGATGCCATCTACAGGCAATATCAAGGTGGAGGGCTCAGATCCAATCCTTCAACTGTAAGTTTGAAAGCATCATTCCTTGGACTTGTTAGCAGGCTCAATAGCAGAACTTAAAGATGTTGACGACAAATCTTGAATAACTTCCACCAACTTCCAGATTCAATCTGCCCCTCAAGCAATCCTCAAAATCAACGTCAACAGAGAGTAAGCCATTATCATCATCCCATATCGGACCCGCAAGAACATCACCCAAAGGCGAAATGACACAGGAACCACCTCTACATACGAAATCAGATGTATCCTTTTTGTGGGTTTCTGTGATTTCTGGTATTCCTTCTACCCTCTGTGGGAGCGCAATCTCACATCCATCATCCGTTAGAATGGATTTCCTCCTTGATTTAGATTGAGCATGCCTATAACCATCCGCATGGCCATCTTCAATAGCGCCGTCATCTTTATAGTTTCCAGTAATCCAGTTTGGAAGATTCGATCTCTTCATACATTGATTCGCACTTAATACCACGCATCTACCCTCGCATGCAATTGTTCGCATCAATGGTAGCCAGGTATCCTTTGCATCTGCTGTGGGGGCTAAATATAAATTGACATTTTGGCTATAAAGGGATTGTCGTAACAAAGGCATGTAGTTTTCCCAGCATATCGCAGCCGCAAGCGTAAGTCTCACCCCTCTGATCGTGGTTGTAACCGCTCTCAATGATGAAGGCTGTCCTTGACCCCATATGAGCCTTTCGATGCCAGTCTGTTACCATTAGTATCGATTGCAAATGACCACTCTCTCCAGATAATGACGACAAAGAGGAACTGTCATACCGGCATGACCTTTCTCCTTTTTCCAATCATTCCAAACTTTGGACAAACATACACAACACCACAATATAAACTTCCACCACATCTCTCAACTACTCCTGTCACAATGAATACATCAGTATCTCTTGCGATTCTTTCCAGTTCCTCTCTTGTGCCATCTCCGCGTTTTCCATCATCTCTATCCTCGAGTTCTTTGTTCACCCATTTCCTTCCTGCGCCTTCTGGTGTATCTCCTAAATCGACTGCATCTTTGTAATAGTGCAGGAACTGTTCACGACCTTTTGAATCTCGAGCTCCGACTACTGCGCCAAATGTTGCCGTGCGAGGGTAACCGCCTAAATATGCTTCTGGAAATAGGATCAAATCAATTGATTTTGTCGCAGCTTGTTCTGCTATTTCAGAGAGGGCAGCAAGACTGGCAGATGTTGTGGAGAGTGTGTGAGATTGGGAAACTGCTAAACGTAATTTTTGTGCCATGATAGTTAGATTTCCTGAATAGTTGCCAAGTTGTGGTTGATGAATTGCTGGGTAGGTAGGATTCAATGAATATGGAGCTCCAAGGGCATGAAGGACATCAAAGCTAAGTTGATGCTATGCGGGGAAGCTAGTTTGGGGGGGCCTCGGGGGCCTAAAAGAAATGCGGGGTTGTTGGCGGCTTGGCTTGCTTACCTTAGAACCCACCTGCCTCTATGATCAAAATATTAGGACTATCTGTATTTATAATATGATATCAAAAAGAGATGTAATTTATTGAAGTCCTTTTGAATAATACTCAATTCCCGCCTCTTATTTCGGTTACGTAGAGCCTGCTACCTGGCTCCCTGAATACCTAGGACCTATTTCTCTCTTTGTTAGGGCCTGAATAGAATGAGTGTGAAATTATATAATATCATCTCTCTTAGTACGATTCAAAATATTCGATCATTCATTCTTTTATCATAATGTACCGGAAGCTTTGCTCAGTCTCAGCCTCAGTCTCAGAATGTTACATTGTTCAGAGCAAACAAAGTCCTCAATCATCATTTTTCTCATATGAGAATGCACTCAATTTAATAACGTGTTTCCAAAACCTCAAATTTCAGTACTTCGTTAAGAACACTTAAATGTTATATTTTCTAATTTCAATCTATAATAATTCTATTGAATGGAATTCAATTCAATTAAAAGTTTGATTAAATAATAGTAAGTGATTGATTATAACGTAGTTTATTAGTATATATATTATATTAGTACGTATACTACTTTTACCTCAATTTACACTTTCAAACCTAAATTATTCAATAATAATTAAATCAATTAATTAAAACTATTCAGAATTTAACAATTTAAAATCTATTATATTATTTTAATAGGTTTTTATATTATAATCTGTCTTTTCGTATTTACTATAATATTAAATAGAAAATGCTTTCTCATTAAATCTACCCTTTTTTTAATATTCATTATATTAAATTTAAATATTAATCTTTTGTTAAAAAAATATATTAAAAAAATTTGTTTAATAAGTATTCCTCCTTAATATAATTAGGTTTTTTTTATATATTAATATTTGTTTAATATCTTATTTATTATTCGAAGTATACAAATCTTTATATTCAAAAGTATATTTTTATAAGTTAATTATTTTATATCTTTAATTAGACTTAGTATAGTTTTAAATATAAATATAGATAAGTTTAATTAATAACAAATTATTTGAAATTTAAATAATATTGATTAAGAAAGAGTTTTAATTAGATTATAAAGGGTTTAAGAGATTTATTAATTTAGGTTGAAAGGAGGGGGGGGGGGGGAGGGGGGGGGGTAGATATATAAATTCGAATATCTAATTTCGAGAATATAGTTTTAGGATTAAATAGAATTAAATCTATTCCTTGGAATCTTGATTTTATATTTTAAGAAATAATTGATTTCTTATATATAGCTTTAAAAGCTATAAAGAATTCAATTTTTGAAATATAATTAATATATATCTTAATAAATTCATTAATTTAATCATCATATAAACATTTTAGATTACTAAAATAGCTAATATTAGATGATTAAATTAAATAATTTGAATATAATAATAAATATAAATATATAATATTATTCTTTTTATAATATACTTAAAAAGCTATTAATTTATAACTTTCATACTTATTTAATACTAATATTCGATATTTACTTTTTCTTCAATTCTTAATATACTTATTGAAGTATTTCAATCATTTTAAATCTATCTTATTATTTGTTTATTTATTAAATATAGATTTAATAGTTTAGTCTATAGAAAGATTACTTTCAATATATTAATTAAAAAGATAAATTTATTTTTGAATTATTAAAAATAAAGGGATAATTTCATTCTCTTCATTTCTATATATTATTATTATAGTTTATTCTTAATTATCTAATTATACTAATTTACTTCTACTATATTTCTTAATACTAATAATAATTATTATTATGTATATAATTCTTATTATAAAGCCTGTTTTATTAAAATTATAAAAATCTTTATTCAAAATGCTATATTTCATTTATATATTTGTAATTAATTGAAATCACTTTTTAAAAAGCTTAGAATTCTTGTAAAAAGCTTTTTAAAAGTTATAAATATAATTAAAATATATTTTTAATTTTTTATATCATTTTACAAATTAATATGTTCAAAGCTTTTTAATAGCTTTTCATTTTTTTAATTCGAGAATATAATTTATTATATCTTTTATTTTTTTAAGTTTAAAAAAAAAACCTTTCAAATTTATATTAAGAATATATAAAACAATTACTTACTCTTTTACTTTAATAAATTTCAGATTTTATAATTAAAATTTAGTTGTAGGAATTGTTTTATTTATTTTTTAAATAAGTATTATATATATAATATTATATAGTTTAATAATTTTTTGAATTAAAAGTTTTTTATTTTTTTTATTAGTTTTAATAGTTAAGAATATTCTCCTTTCTTTATCATTCAATTATATAATAAATAATTGATAAATTATATATTGAGATTGAAGAGTATAAATTGAGGTAAAAGTGATGTATGTATTAATATAATATATGTACTGATAAACTACGTTATTACTTTAAAAATATATCAAAATCAAGCTTTTCTTAATATGTATATTTTAATAATTAATCATTATTATTTTTTAAAAAAAGAAATTTAATTATAATAATAAATTAAATATTCAAAAATCTAATTTTTATTTAAATATTCTTATATTCTAAAAAAAAGTTAAAATTATTACGATTTTTATTATAAAAAGAATTCTTTTTATAATAACTATTATAATAATTCGAATTTTTAATTTATTATTAAAAAATTTCAATATTTATATGTTTAAATATTATTGTTACGACGACATCTAACATACCGAGTCACCTGATCAGAAAGTCACGGGATTAGAGATTCCCACTGGATCCCACTGCTCCCACCTGGTGGGACACGATGGGATCAATGGGACAACAAGGAACGAAGGTCTATATAAGGGAATGGGTTTCATTACAATGTAGAGCTTCGTGCTCAAGAACAATCATTAGTTTCATTACTATAGTTACGAGAATTGCAACCAGTTACAACCTTATTGAATTCCTACTTGAAGTCTAGTCTAAACCACCTCGAGAGATCTCTAGACACTTCCACGTGACCCTAGAGGCAGCTCCCGTAACAATAAGAAAAAGGAATAATCTTTAATTAGATTAGTTTTAGATTTTAAAGGATTTAGCTAGTATAATTCGCTCTTTATATTATATATTCTAGATTTTCATTATAAATGGAAATTCTGTTTGTGTTGAAATGTATGATTATATACTTAAACGAATCATATGATTCTTTTTATTATATATATATTAAGAAAAATCATACCTTATTCTAGATCATTTTAATTTATATTATTTATTTTATATAGGCTATATAGTGCTATATATAGTGATTTGAGTTGACGACTCCTTCTTCCTCAAGTGATCTCAACATTAATATTATATAGTAATAGAGGTAGGTGATTCATTTTGATTTAGAGATAAAAAGAAAATATGATTTATGAGTTTTGTATTGAGGTATAAGGTTTTAAATAAGTCTTGTAGTATCTTTTTGTATATATATAAAAACTTAGTCTTGAATGTGCTTTATTTCAATTCCTTATTAGGTTTAAGTTCAATTAGCGTGTCGCCATTTCAATCACTCTTCTTCAAAGGCGCTACGATACAGTGACATTTCTACAGTATTTGCGAAGAATTACTCTATGACCCTAGCACCTTCTACTCTTTTATACTACAGAATCGAGAGCAAAGCGATCGTGGAGCGCACCTATATACTAGCTATGTACACGTGATCGTGCACGTGAGCGATCGCAGTTGCGATTGAGGCCGATTAGTAACAAGTAGTATATATATTAATATAATATATATACTAATAAACTAGTAATATAAGTTTTAGATAATTTAAGCTTTTATTAATCAATTTAGAAATATATCAATTTCCAATTTTATAAATTAATATTTATCTTTAATCTAATAACTATGTTTTTAGAATATTCGGAAATCTATATACTTATTTATTTAATTAAAATATTAATAATTCTTAAAAATTTATTAAAATTAAAGATGTATTAATAAAATTAGAAATGATATTTCATTTCAATAAACTTAATGAGGCATAAAAAATCGCTGCCGTTTTTTGGAAACGAGTTATTAAATCGGGTATGTCAAAAGCCTCTCTCTACATTGCAAACGGTCTTGTCAAATACATTACCTCTTGCCCATCCTTGATTTGTTTGTCTAAAACATACCCATACATGATAAGGTCTCTATATCTAGAACCATGCAAGATCCGGCTCATATATCCAAACAGGGGAAATCTTTTGCTGCGTTGTTCTGATCAAATCCCACGCATTTCCAGCAAGTCAACAAATTGTCAGGATCGTATTTCTTCTTGATCTCAACCAACCTCTCATAGTTTTTAAGGCCCCACCAAGCTTCTTTCCAATCGCTGGTCCATGGATGAGCTTCGTTAAAATATGCACCTCCTGTCGGTGTAAATTCCTCGACCATCGCGGTCAGATTGTTAACCAGATCAATCTGGAATGTTCGTTGCTCCAAAGTTTCGTTATATTTCCATGCTCCACCATATGAAAGTTCCCAGATAGAATCCCGCCATTCTGGCGTAGAGGATGTTGATGCAGGATCCCACTGATAGAGCCATGGCGTAGTGTTGGGAATATAAGGCGAATGCCCAAGAGAAATTAGACGTTTTAAAAAAACCCATCAACTTCGATCTGCCCTCTGCACTTTTGAACATAGATGCCGGTATAAGTCGAGGAGCGAGTGGGCGAAGACCGCCAACAACGGCCGCATTGGGTGTTACATATTTCGTACAAAATTCATACCAGGAAGAAAGGGTTTCAATAACTACAGTGCCATCGTTCTCGTTCGCAAATTTCATAGCTGGAGTCATTGATTCAGCCGCTTCGGAAAGACTGAGAAGTGGT